TACAAGTAGGAGGAAACCAGAGCACTCGGGAGAAAGCCCAGGGACTGTGCGAGGAGGAAACACTCTATCCCCGTACAGATGGAAACAGATGGAGGGATAGGTCCACTTGCTGTACTGCCTTGTGTTACGCCAGAATAAACTTAAGTAGAAAGGGAGATTTCCACAAATTAATTATGCACCCACGGCAAGCTCTGCTCCATGCGCAAGAGAAAATTTAAAAAAAACATTAAATCGTGCATGAGCCACACGTGAAAAGTTGTTAATCAACACACACCATGCAATGGGTGTGTGTCGGGGATGACTTTTCCCCTTTTTATCTTGTGTGCACGATAACACCCAACCACAATCCTTCACAGCATCCCAAGACGAATTAAAGTGTGTAGTGTGAAGGAGCATTGTACACCACGAAAATCATCAGACCCAAACCCCTGGAAAGATGCGATATCAGAGGAGCGAGTACAACACACGATCCACAATTAAAACGAGCACACGCGAGCTGTATATTCACCAGATAAGTCAACCCTCGAGACACGAAAGGCCCACGGTAGCGTCGAAATAACGCGTTTGTGTTTTTCATGTTTGATTTTTATCTTTCAACTAAATGTAGGAATAACAGATTTAAGCAACGGTTTATTGTTACAGTATGGCTGTTAATTTAGGTTTTTCTTCGCGTGCCATTTTCCTACATTTGTCCCCCCCCCCCGTCACTAAGCTTGGTAAAGGGTAGCACCCCCCCCCCCCAGATGTTAATCGGGATCTGCAACCTTTCAATAAACGGGGAAGTAATCCTCACCTACAAAAAAAAACCCCTAACAGTTTGATTTTCAAAGGGATGTGAGCATGGGCAATGTTCGCATGTATCCTACCCAGGGCCGCATAAAACAAGGATCTCCATGCTCACGAAGTTCGGCTGCTATATATGGCATTGGGAGCTAAAGTGTTTGTTCCTGCTAAGACAGTATTTACGAATGCATCATCGTGAACATCGCTCCGATTGTACAGGCCGATGACTTGTGACCCCATCCTCCCCGCCCGCCAATTGATTAACCCATAACCTTTTGTTCTATTTTTAAATATTAATCTCCGTTTAAAATAAAGCTTACTTAAAAAATACATAGTTTTAAAGACTTAAATGGCGGTCACATGACATCTGGACCACCCGTGTACAGTATACCCGTGCAACTGGCCTGCATCGCGGCCTTCGACTCCAAGAGACTCTCTCTCTGCCTGTTGAAACCAACAAGAAGGCATGTCATCGCGGGCTACGCATTGCCTGAAAAAAAAAATCCACGCACGAGGGCCCCGGCGGATATCGCTGTGATGTAAATTACCGTAATTTATCCGGCAGCAGGCTATATTTCTGTTAATGCGAATGTCGCCCACGCTTGTCAAGTCGCGAATTGTGGGGCCTGTTAAACGTGCGGACACAATAAATCAATCAGACGGGTCCTTCATTTATTACGAGCCAGTAAATAAACCAAATTCGGATTACAGCCTTCCCACCCTCATTCAAGAGGGTCCTTTGATGAAATTTCGGCGAGGGTGAAAAATCCTGGGAAACATGGGCTTACCGTTTCATACGAACATTCAGTTACGGCTGTGATACTCGCGTCGCGATCGCAACCATTAAACGTTTAACGTTTGGTCAGGTTTTTTTTCTTCCCCATTCCTAAAAGGCGGTTCCTGTAACCGTGCCTTCCATTTACCCAAGGAAGCCTCACTGAAGTATCACGACTCCATTTCAAGAAAGTCCCGCATTGGGGATGTTTTGGCCAATTGCAATCATTTGGGAGGAAACTTAAGTAGCTGGAAAACACCGACACGTGAGGAGACAACAAAGTTCACAAGGATGAGTTAACAAACCTATTCACTGTACTGCCAGCCACTTGGTAACCTCAAGCAAGCCTACAACACCTGGTATTCCCAAGCAAGTCTCCCATCCAAGTACGAACCATCCCCCACCATGCAGAGCTTCTGAGATCTGGAAGAAGCGCAGACCACCCGGCACTATAATCCTGCCTGTCAACACCACTTTCGCCTGTTGCCAAAAGCGGACGTTTAGGAGGACTTTGAGCAAACATTTGCAAAACCTGCACAGGAAAAATCCCTGCGCGCGTGTACACACACGCACACTCGCGTGCAGTGCCACTGAGATGTCCCTGCTTAATTTACCGAGCAGGCCATTATGTAATTGCCTCAACGTTAACACCAATTTTGTCCGACAGCAGAGAGGTGGCTGAGTGGAATTTCACTCTGCATTAAAATACGTCGTCGGAGACTTACAATTTCGTAACATCGGTGGCAAGTGATATCTGTCTAAACCGATCCTGGGACTCCTCATCCCCCCCTCCACCCTTCATCACCCAGCACCAACGAGCATAGTAAAGTACGGTCAAATAAGCATCACAACCAACACAGTATGAGGAAGCCTTCATCCAGCAGTGGGGATTGCCAAAATTCGACAAATTGCATGTTTTTTAATGGAATTTTCATCAACGATTTCAGCAGATAATAGACAGAAAGGAAATATTGTTATGAAATGTAAAGAGATGTCTTTGCACATTTATGTGGCATTTTTTCCACGATGGTGGTATATTGGTTTGGGTGTGTGCATTGGCTGGGTCATGTAGCCCACATGCCCAGCCATTGCATGCCCAAGCAGTTTCTGTTTGGTCGGATAGAGGGGGCTAAACGGGCACGACACGGTCTAGAGAAGAAATGGACTGATACACTACGGGAGGATGGGGAGGTGAGTGGAATTGCCGAAGACTGGTACCAGTGGTGTCAAGATCGGCCTAAATGGAGGAGGCTCGTGAAGGACGCTACTGGTCAGTTGGAGGCAGTCGCCCTCCAGCAACAACGGAGGGCAGAGAAGCGACGCTCACAAGGAACAGCGCGCCGGGCAGCTAAAATGAAAAAAGTTGGCACAGTGGGGGCACAGCTGGTGCATCTGCCAGTCATCTCAGTCAGTCAACTCATGGCACCGAAGTCTGTCCCGTGACCTCCTGTCAGCGAGCTTCCGACACTATAACATGGCCTCAAAGTGCACCTGGCCTGGCACAGGCGACGTAATTACGTCACCGCCACTTAGTGGACAATGGCAGGTGTTGCTGTTGTTGTGTGCATTAAATACACAACGATCAGAAGACAAGTGATGCACATGGAGGCACCAGGGTAGAGAGATCAAGAGTTAGACCTAGAAAGAGGCGGTTTCGTGGTGATGATCCAGATTATGAAGACTTGTGTGAAGTGGATGTGGCCCAGGGCAGGAATGACCAGAGAAAGTGTACCAACGAAGCCCAAAATCCTACACCAGTGGAAACAAATTCAAGGAGGAAAGAGACAAGCGGATAATTAATGTGAAGGACTGTTGAGAGTGTGGACGTGGAGATTGGCCCATGCCACATGAATTGGGAAACATTACGGGAAGAAGATTAAATACAGACTGATATTACTGATATCACTTTGGAACTTAATTTAAAGTGCCACTGAGAGACCACCAACTGGATTAAGCTCAAGCTTGCTGATGGGAATGACATCCGCCCCTGGAAGACTGGAGGAGAGAGATGAATTTACGTTAAACAAATTTTACTGCAGCCATTCTCAATCCACCAAGGCATTCCCCATGCCATGAAGGCCTTCCCCATGCCATGTCGGTCACGTGCGTTTTTGACAATTCAGACATACTTCAACAATCTAGTTAGTCGCCAGTTGGTGCAGAGGCTAAGCGTGGTAGGGATCTCTTCTCTCATATCACTTTGACACGGATGTTAGCCGTGGCCGGTAAATCAAACTCTGATATTATACCGGGTACGTCGCACAGCACACTAATGACTCGGTGTTCCACTCACTGCCACCACGGCCCCCACAATTACACACGCAGTACAGTTCCAACATATCGAATATGTACCGTACATACTCATTGACTTAATGCATGCCGGCACACGCACACACACAGACCAAGCAGAAGCATGTTTGCTTGGCAAAATACAATTACCGAGCAAGGTTTGCGCGAGTCAACAAAACGTATATATGGTATGTATAAAGTGCCGTTACATTTTTTTAAAAGTGTATTAAGCAAATCTTGGTTATGTGCGTGCTTTCCAACAAAAAACTGTCCCTATATGGGCTTTCTGATGGCATCTTCTAACAGGCCATTTGCCTTATTCGCCTGTGATCTACGATTTAAAGAAGTGCGTGTGCGCTGTTAAAAAAACAAGGATAAATCCCCTGCACTTGCACAGAGGGCAATTGCCACGCTATAAAAGCTGCTTGAATGAACGCAATGGGAGACGGAACATTTTTAATGAATGAACCGGTATCCCATTCGAGTATGCAAATGTATTTAAATAGCCGTCGGCGTTGTGACTTGGAACGAGCGCGGGGATGAAGATGCAATTTGTAAACAGCGGCGGCCAAAAAGAAATTGAAACAATTTCGCACGGAACCTACCGGCCGATGATTTAGCACGGTTTTGGTCTCGCGTACGGTGCGAAAGAAGTTCAACATACGCGACCGTAAGGTTAAAATAGGTTTCTGTAATGCTTATTTCGGGTGGTTTGCTCACACACAGTCTGCAAGCACGGCCGCAGCAGCAGCATTTGCACGCACGTTTAAATTCCACTTTGGCACGTAATGCCACAGAGATGGGGGGCTACAGATGGACAAGAGGGGAGGCGATGGCACGCGGCGATAGGGGACATTGTAGATTGCACACCGCACCAACAACAGATGGAAAGTCAAACATTTAAAGAGATAGTGCTGGACCAAGAAAGATGAGTGGGTATTAACGAAGTGTGCTACTGGAGAAGGTGCGGAAGGGGGGAGAGGTCACGAATAGTGTGTCAGAGAGACGAGAGCGTAAAGACACAGCAGTTAAACAAATTAATAAATAACAGCCATCAAAGCAGCAGCAGCAGCAACAACAACAACAGCAGCAACAACAACACAAAAAGGAGCAGCAGCAGCGGCGGCGGCGGCTACGACGGTCCAGCACTCACGCGCGGGCCCTGGGAAACCCCATGGACAGCAGAATGTCGAGCGAAGAGGCATTCTTGATCGTCTGCCGCGTCGCCCGCCGGCTCTTCGGCACCACTTTGCTGTACATCACCTCGGCCGCGTCGCCCTGTCCCGCAGCGCCCGCCATGGCCATTTACACTCGCACATATACGGTAACGTGCGGCGGCGGCGCGCGTGCGTGCGTACGTACGTTCGTGTGTATGTGTGTGTCTATATATGTACGGGACAGCGAGGAGACGAACGCACGGGCGCTTGCTGCCACCGACTGCGGAACCACAACCAAAAGTGTGAGGCGAGCGCGAGTGCGCGAGAGCGAGCGAGCGCGCGGTTTTTTTTTGTTCCGCCCCCTTTTCCCGCGCTCCGCCCATCTCCCGCGAAAGTTTGCTCCGCCCCCTTTTACGCTCGCAGCGTGTGCGCGTTTTCTCTTTCACTCTCTGTGTGTCGACGCCCACGCGCGCCCCCATTGGACGGAGAGAGGCCGGCTCGAAGGGCGTGGCCTGCGCGGCGTTCACCCCAATGAGGTGGAGTGGGCGTGGTCGTACGGGGGGCGGGGCTACGGTCGTAAAGAGGAGGGGGGCGTGCGGTGGGGGTGGGGTTAACATATTTTGTGTTTCAAGAGCTGATAGTCATAATACTACAGAGGTTTTTGTGTTATATTTCTAACTATATTAATATTATTATAAATATATATCCTGGTTTGTTTTTTGGGGTTATATATTTATAAATTTGAAAGTTAGATGTAAATATATTTATATAAATATGTATATATAATATACACATAATATACATGTGTATATTATATATTATTTGAAAGTGTGTTTATAAATGTTTTATAAATAAAAGTATATATTTATGTTCACGCGATCTAACCCAGCAAAAACCTCTGTTATGGATAATATTGGTCGCGAAAGCATGCGCGTTAAAAGAGACCAAGTCTTATCATGTGAGTTTAACACGTAGTAGACTTTTCGTGACCAATATTTTCCATAATCGAGGGTTTATCAATATAATAATATACGCGATCTAACCCAAAAGCCACTATTATGTAAGTCTTATATTATCTTTTTTTTGTAAGAGGAGCAATGCACTCTCATCCTTCTGCTTCTGGGTAATATTATTCACTTGGCTTGCATTCTTGAAGGTCAGCCCGCGCGCGTGCGTGCGTGCGTTTTTGTGGCAAATTGGCAAACAATTGTGGCGCAAGGGTGACAGCAACGCGGTTTGTGGCGTCTCAATGCGCCCAATCAGAATCGTCGAGGCATCGTGTGCCCCATCCTGTTCATCAGGCGTCAATTAGCCAGCCTGTTGGCTCATTTCACGTGCGCGCGCGTGTGCCAAGTCACGTGTGTGCCAAGTCACCTGTGTGTCAAGTCGCATGCGTGTCAAGTCACGTGCGTGCCAAGTCACCTGCGTGCCAAGTCACCTGCGTGTCAAGTCGCCTGCGTGTCAAGTCACGTGCGTGCCAAGTCACGTGCGTGTCAAGTCACCTGCGTGTCAAGTCGCCTGCGTGTCAAGTCACGTGCTTGTCAAGTCACGTGCGTGTTAAGTCACGTGCGTGCCAAGCAGCAATTCGCGCAGCAATTCACCCGTTGACAAAATCCACACCTGCCAATTCACATTTCACTTTTACCACTCAAGTATGTATTGTTCAGTTTGTATAATGCTGTGTACGTACTGCCTCTTGAATAAAAATCACACAATTCCGCCCTGACCTCACCAGCTTTCGGAAGCTAAGTCGGCTTGAGCCTGCATTCGCGGATGCTGTAGCCGCACTGCTGGTTCACGTTGTCAGCAGAGGGCAGTGCCCCAAACACCACTGATGTCTTATGTGTGGCGGCCTTCACGCATCAGCAGTGAGGGCCGCCAAACATTTTGAAACCATTGTTGGGTTTGACAGCAGCACGATGACGATGATGGTGATGACGGGGGGTGTTGTCACCATTTGTGTTTTGTGTCGGGGGACCGCACGTCAGGGGCCACACTAAAGGCCATCAGGGGGCCGCCAGTGGCCCGTGGCCTTGCAATGAAGAACGCTGCATTATCAGATACAGTACACTATTCCCTCATTATTCGCGAACTTGCTAACAGCGATTTTGGCCATCCGTGAATCGCATCTGGAACTCTGCACGATTGAATACTTAATTTTTTGTTTTTGTTGACTTTTTGTTTCTTACAACCATGTTTTCTTTGTTTGTGTTATAAAGTTAATGTAATGAATAGCGTATTTTTGTATTTAAGGTAAATTTAAGGTAATTAAATATATTGTCCTTTCCCCGCACCTCCGTTTAGCACGGTTGGCTATGTACGGTACGAAAGAACTTCAACATCCATGCGTAGTGTACTAATTCAGAGACACTAATAGGAGGCACTCTCTTTAATTCCGGTCTTTACAGCCATCGGGGATAACTCCATACCGGGTCAGGACAGCCAACATGCTTCCAGACCCACAGCTTCGAAGAGGCGAAGACCACCACGACGACAGCAGCAGCAGCAGCACGACGAGTCCCACTCCTGATGGCAGCAGTCACGACTGTGAGTCGGAGCTCGCCTTTTATCCTGCCAAGCGTGGTCAGGCTCCGCCCTCGGCCACGCCCCCTTCTGGATCCCCCAGAAGGCTCCGGGCTTCGCCCACGCGTCCCACTGGTAGAACGGGCTGCTACTCCCACTCCCATTCTCTACCAGTCCCCAGCGCTACGCGCTCCAGTGACTCGTTCTATGTCACTACACATGCACTAAAATAAGGTAGGTTCTCGTTGGCCAATATCATTTCCCGCGAAATTTGCTCTTCACGAGAATCCCCGGAACGTATTCCTCACGAATAGCGAGGGAAATCCTGTAACTATTCTCCCTTGCTTCACCAACGCGCACTGACTCGTGTGAAGAATGTGTATGTATGTATGTCTATGTGTAGGTATGTTGGGAGCGGTAGTGTAGTGGTTAACGCTACGCTGCGCTTCGAACCCGGCCACCCGAGTTCAATTCCCGCTTGTGGCCAACGCCACTGGTTGTGGGCCTCCCCTAGGTTGACTCAGCCTCAAATTAATACCCAGTGCGGTGTGTAAACATCGCCACTGGGGAGACAAAGGCGGCCAGGAGGGGTGTTAGCCACCCACCGCCTCGTGTGCCGTGCCGGCCTTTATAGGTGCTCGCTAACAGTACATCCCCAACAGTATGTGAAGGCTACGCGGGGGATCTTTGTCCGTGTCGTGGCCATGTGGATATTTCCACAAGCATGCCACTTAGCCTCCAGATATAGCGACTCATGGAGCAGTAGCCATTGAAAATGTAAGGGGAGAAGGGATTGGATGACGAAAATGGATCAGTTTGGTGGGACGTTGTTAGTTGGGCAGGACTTTTCCGCGAAAGACGCTGAAGGTGACGAAAGACGACGGAAAGAATCTGCCTCGGGCATGAACTCTCAGTGAAGAGGATGACGCTGGCTGGAGATATTCAGTCAACCGGACGGGCAATGTCTGCCTGGTGGAATTGGGGTGGGTTGGGTTTGCTAGTTTGATAAGGGCAGTCTGCAGTTAACCAAACAAGTTTCAGAGGCGGTTTGATGATAAAGATCACTTCTATGTCAGCAATGTGTTATCTTAACAACGTGGAAACTTTGACGTTTATTTTTTTCAAGTGTTATTTTATGTTTTTGTCCAATCGGATGCAGTGATTTGTGTGTGTGTGTGTGTTGGGGGGTTTAGCGGTAATGGGGAGCGGTAGTTTAGCAGTTGGCACGCTGCGCTACAAACCTGGCGACCCGAGTTCCCAGCCAACACCAGTGACGATTATCTGAACCAGTCTTGGGCGTCCCCAAGTTCGACTCAGCCATTAATGAGTACCTGGTGAGGTGTGTTAACGTCGCCACTGGGGAGACGAAGGCGGCCGGGCGTGGTGCTGGCCACGCAGCCCGTTCGTGTGCCGTGCCGGCCTTCATAGGTGCTCGCTAACAGCACTTGCCCCAACAGTCTGTTGGGGGATGTTTGTCTTTGTGTTGGGAGGTGTTTTATAGAGGCAAAAACATATCATTTGTTTCCCTGTGGCTAAACACGTGATGATGAATATAGAACTGCACGTGTTTGACAAAGCTTTGGCTCCGTTTAGCACATTCCGTTTTGTTTTTTATTGGGATGTTTTGGAACGCCGGGTTTTTTTTTAACTGGAACCGATTATTACTCTTACTACTGTGAATGTTTTTTTTATATGCAGATTTCGTAGAGATTGGGGAATTCCCAGTTATTTTTATCCCGATAATGTTTGGTGTCCACTTTTACTGTGGATTTTCTGGCAGTAATAGGGCACGTGTCATTGACACGTGGGAGCCTGAACACATGTTCAAAGAGATGGATTTAAAGAGCGGGGACTTGCCTCAAATAATAGTTGCAATACCACCGTTAAAAAACAAGGTTAAAACCCAAGTTTAGAGCTGCAATAATGCCTTAATAAAGAAGACAGGGTGAGCGGGCAAGTGGTGTCCTCAGCTGTGTGCGCCAGAGGTCACTTGAGTGAATCCCAGTAGTAGCTCTGTGATATCTTCTTGCGCGAGCCATTCTTTCAAGATGAGCATGGTGGGGGGGGGGGGAGATGTACTACATTGCGTACATTTCAAATGGATTCTCCATCTCATGACACAACGCTGATAGAAACAACATTTGATATGTTTGTTGCCGGCTACGATGATAATACGTAAGCACTATATAGTGGAACGCTGATTAAACATGCTGTAAGCACAGCTAGTATTGAGAGCAGTGATTGGCGCGGTGCTCTATGCAGCCGGTGACCCGAGTTTTTATGTATGTTGAACTTCTTTCGCACCGTACAAACGCACCACAAAAAAACAGTTCTAAGGGAATGAGTTTGTCAATCTAGATTTAAACGTACATCGCTCCAGTCGCTTCCTTATACCGGAAGGAAGAGCGTTCCAGACGGCCACAGAAGCGCATCTGAAAGCGCGCGATGGTGAGCCAAAAGCCGCTGCTGCGAGGATGACCGGAGTTTTGCGTGAGCTTGATACCTTGACCATGGCTAACCTCATTTGGCGAGTTGTGTTTCTTTTTTGTTCCTCATCTCGGCCGTGATCAGCCACCGCTGGCATCAGGGCCTCCCTCCACAGAGCGGTCGTCAATTCCCTCACGGCCCCGCAATGCAACAGCAGCCCGCCCCAAGCGAGCTGCACGCGAGCTGACTGGTGAATTGGGAAGTTGCCTCCTCCATCCAGCGGTGGCTTAGGAGCTTAGGGAAGCTTTTATCCACGATGCATTTTGATTAATCCGCAAAATGTTCAAAATAGACCGCAGCAGGCGTCTGTGGAGGAAGACAAAAACAAGGGTGTCACTCCACACACAAAAAACCCCGTCTCTGCAT